ACCACAGAAAATATCTTGCAGAAATTAAAAGATTTCGCGTGGCGGAATGATGATTATTATCCCCCAGAAATGCGTTTATGATGAAGCTTGAATAACTCCATCGTTTGCGCACGAGGTATAGATTTAGAAGCCATTTCTTACATAAAGAATGATATTAGATTGAGTAAAAGTGAAAACATATACCGCTATCATTCTTCGTGTTATGAGTATGACAACATTTTCTACATTCCTCATGTATGTAGGTGTAAACACACGAAAAAAGAACTCAAAGTTACAATTTAATCAAGTAAATTACATTGGCCATGAAATTCTGTAACTCATGTAACCTGTTTGTTTGCTTGGATATACCGTAAGTTGCACATTGGCACATTTTGTGTAACCCTGAGCAAGTATTTTATTAAGGACATCTTATATTTGTATCCGTTGTTGAAAGGTTTCGCGTCAGTTCAAGTTTGCATTTGAGTGTTGATACAAGAATACCATAATTTGATAAATAACCATCGGCGAGGCAACACATTTGAATCCGGCACCATTCACCAATGAATTTTGTTAATTTCTTCAACTGCGGTTGAGTTTTAGTTAGGTATAAAGTTAGGTTTAATGTTAAATAGGTTTATATTTGGTAATAAATTTGTAGTTTGTTCTTTGACTTGAGTTTGTGCTGGTAATCGGCTGTGGAGCATTAAATTGTTTTCGTTGCAGTTTAAGTCGTGAAATCCAACCAAGCTGATGTTAACAGTAACATGTATTATGTTACACAACTATTGTTTTACCCATACGAGAGACAATCCGCAATCTAGATCCGTTTGGCAACTTTGATAAGGAGAGGAAAAAGAAGGGAATTTGGGGCCATATTTGCAAGGTCAGTCTTACTTTGGGGAACCAAAGTCTTGATGAATACCAAACCCATCTCTGTTTGACATAACTTGAAAAGGGGTAGAAGATACAGAATCACGGAATCAATTGAAATGGCTTTGAAAGACGAAGGATGGTGATCTTTGTACGGGATTAAGATAACATTTTCCCTTTTGTTTGTCGTTACAAGATTAGCCCCTGAAGGTGGACAACACCTGAATTATGAGTTATGTCGTGTCAGCCTTGCACAACGACGTTTTTTTCTCTTTACCTCTTCAGAGGGACTTTATTATTCCATTTCAAAATACATATAGACTATTTACAAAACAAGTAAAAATGAAACATATGAATTATATACAAGATCAACATAATTTCTGAAAATGATCATTATAACATTTCTATTATTTTCTTAACTTCTTCATTATCGAAGTATCTTGTATTCTCTTTGTATTTCAAATAACATTTCAATGATGAAATAAAATTATTTATTAACCTCTTTGGATTGGTTGGTACTTCTCCAACGACGACGTTTGGTGTTACGAAATACATGTTTTTATTAGACATTTAGTTCTATCTGATTATGCGATAATTTCACGAAGTTGAGTTGAACTGAAAAGATCCGAGTTCAGATTGATGAAATAATATTCAATATAGATGAATGTAATTGAACTGATTTGAAATCATTTTGTTTGGATTGCATGTACGTGTAATTGATATAGTTGATTTAATTAAGAAGCATTTGACTGAACTGAAATAATGTGTATTTATTATTTATTTACACACTGTAGAAATATATAAATGGAGTGTTTTTTTAGATTAGAAACTTTGAAATTCCGTTGCATCAGTTGAATCAGATTTGAATTGAACTGTCAGTGTTTATGATGAAGTGTGGATGCATTTTTTTTTTTTAATTACTATTTTAATTTTTTTTTTTATTATGGGCTGAAATTGAGTTGAAATTGAAATGAATTTTATTTTTCACTTCGATTTAAAATTGACTTGAGTTTGAAATGAATTCAAATAAAAACTTGGCTTGAGTCTTATTTGATTAGAAATGAAATTGAATTGAATTGCGCATCGAATCGCGAGTAAAAATTGAGTTGGAATGAAGAGACGAATTTATATTCGATTCAAATCAGTTGATTATAGACCTTAAATCGTCTCGGTTGAACTCATTCTATTGACTTGAATTGACTTGTAAGATGTTATCCATATTGATTTGATTAAGTTACTTTTTTTTTTTCATTTGAAAATGGTTTCCGTTTAATAAGTTCAATTCAATATAAAATAGTCATATAGTCATGATAGCAACACACAATTCTAGTTTATAATAAGCACCTAACAGTGTACCACTCAAGCCGAAATGTTAATATAATAATCTTGCTACGTTAATTAGGCTAAGTGTTTTGCATGAGCATCATACAACGTCAAAGTTGAAAACATTCTATTGACTTGAATTGACTTGTAAGATGTTATCCATATTGATTTGATCAAGTTACATTGTTGTTTCATTTGAAATTTATCTCCAATTAATAAGTTCCAGTCAATATAAAATAGTCATATAGTCATGATAGCAACACACAATTCTAGTTTATAATAAGCACCTAACAGTGTACCGCTCAAGCCGAAATGTTAATATAATAATCTTGCTACGTTAATTAGGCTAAGTGTTTTGCATGAGCATCATACAACGTCAAAGTTGAAAACATTCTATTGACTTGAATTGACTTGTAAGATGTTATCCATATTGATTTGATCAAGTTACATTGTTGTTTCATTTGAAATTTATCTCCAATTAATAAGTTCCAGTCAATATAAAATAGTCATATAGTCATGATAGCAACACACAATTCTAGTATACAATAAGCACCTAACAGTGTACCGCTCAAGCCGAAATGTTAATATAATAATCTTGCTACGTTAATTAGGCTAAGTGTTGTGCATGAGCATCATACAACGTCAAAGCACTGAACGGAAATATATGCGCAAAAATAAATAATCTACCTAGATTAAAGATGTTTTTCACCATGAATTTTCATGAATAATTGATGACAATGCCGATGTTAAAGCCGCCGTCCTTTTATGTTCCATTTCACCAAGCAAGAGACGAGAACTGCTCTGGTAAATGTTTTTCTTCTTTTTTCTAATTTTTATTGCTCGTATGAAGAATATTATAATATTGACAATATCCCATGTAAAAAATTGTTGTGGATACAAAGGTTAACGTTGTTTTTCACCATGAATTTTCATGAATAATTGATGGTCAATGCCGATGTTAAAGCCGCTGTACTTTTCCGTTCCATGTCATCAAGGAAGAGACGATAAACACTGTTCTGGTAAACATTTTTTTTTTCTTTTTTTTTCTTAATTCTCATTTTTATGCTCGTATGAAGAATATTATAATATTGACAAGTTCCCATTTAAAAGATTGTTGTAGAGACAGAGGTGTCATAGTCGAGTGCTTTGAACACTTTTCTAGAGATGCGAAGGTATAGGTTCGATCCCCGGCATGGTGCTTGTGGCCTTAAGCAAGGCATTTTATCTACAATGATTCCCTTCACCAAGGTGTCAACTGGGTACTCGGTAGGATGCGAATTTTAAAGACCGTCAATACTACTGGACCAGAAGGGTTAGACCACACAGCGAGGTCACTGACAGGTGGCTATCTCATTAACTCAGCTTTCAACTAACATAAGAAAAAGAGGATCACGGGGGACCGACAGGCACCGATTGGGGAAGTTTTCTATATAGAGGGAGCAAGTATAGCTACAAGTAGGACAGTGTGCCTTTAAGCAAGGCATTTTATCTACACTGATACCCTTCACCCAGGAGTAAAACGGGTACTCGGTACTCTCTTAAAAAAAGAGTGAATTTTCACTCTATTTTCACTTTCTTGGGAGTGACGTCCGTGATCACTTGTTTAGGAGTGAAAATCAATTGATTTTAGAGTGCTCTCTAAGAAGAAAAGAGTGAATGTTCACTCTATTTTCACTACATTTTCACTCTCCAGAGGAGTGACGTCCGTGATCACTCGATTTTTTTTTAGAGAGTAGGATGCGAACGTTAATGTGATTGAATCGACATGTGGGCTCTTGGAATAATATTAGAAATCAGATTAAAAATAATAGATACAATTTTATTAAATTGTAGTTAGAGTTTTTAAGACCGTCAATACTACTGGGCCAGAAGGGATTAGACCACACAGCGAGGTCACTGACAGGTGGCTATCTCATTAACTCTGCTTTCAACTAACATAAGAAAAAGAGTATCATGGGGAACCAACAGGCACCGATTGGGGAAGTTTTTTTATATAGAGGGAGCAAGTAGCTACAAGTAGGACAGTGGGGCTTTAATGTGATTGAATCGGCATGTGTGCTCTTGGAATTACTCTCATTATTAGAAATCTAGTGATCAGATTAAAAATAGTAGAAACAAGTTTTTTAAATTGCAGTTAGTGTTTTAATAAGAATTATATTACAGAAACCTTCATTTAAGTTCTCCCACACCTAACACACATTTAGACACGAAGAGTTAACAATTAAGTAACAACAACAACAACAATACAAACAACAACAACTTTTAAGAACATTTCAGTAGCGTTGGGCGATACCTTATGAAATGTACAAGCATCACCATGACATTTTACATAATCCGAACCTGATTTCTGTAAGAAAATCAAGAAGGTATTGAAATTGATCTTGAGTTGATTCATCGTAAGTATTTGCGATTTCGTTCTTTAGAAACGTTCCTCGCCATATTCAAGCAACTAGTTTTCTTTAGTTTTCATCTCATTATCTTGTAACCCTAATACTTATCAACAGGCTTGACGTTATATCTAGCCACTAACCCGAAAACCAAATACTATGTTCGGCGTTATTTGCTGACACTCATTAACGTGTTCGCGTTACAAAATACAAAGGAATTCTGCTCGTACATACTACAAGCATCTGAGGGGGGAAAGACATGATAGTCAGTTTTTGTTCGGTATCATGTGATGAGGACTTTATTTTAATAGAATGGATGAAGCGATGACGGCCGATTGTATAACGCAATGAAGAGTCATTAAGGCGATTGCTCTAGGGCAGAAATTAAACGATCTCCCGTTCACCGATTCCGCCTCCTTCTCATCCTCATTTTGCAAAGTTATTAAAATGTGACAGTAGACGAACGCGACTTGCACGCACACAAGCGTGTAGTCAGGTAACACAGCGCACCGCTAAACCCGCTACGCAGACGACAGAAAAGGTGCGGGGTTTTGCAGGAGTGAGGATCTCCCCATAAATCTTTTTAGTTGAGCACAGAGTGGCGTGTACGAGTGTCTTTCTTTTTCGGCAAGTGTATTCGATTAGAGCCTTTTGTGTCATCGATGTGGAATTATGGTGCCTTGACGACAGATGTCGTGCACGGAATCGCGGCCAGAGGCTTCTGTGAAAATAAAGAGGCGACGTCATTTTCGGGATGAGGATATGAGAAGGCGAGAGAGAGAATATCCATCATTCTACGACCATGTTTGGGATGCATTAGCTGGATTCTTTTAACTACGGCGTCTCTATTTTGTACAGTTGGATTCAAGTTCGCCTTTTCTTTTCTTTCATTCTCATTATTCTGAGTATGTAATTTTGTTTAAGTTGGGAGCATTTGTATCAAATTTCCACGGTGTATACAATGATGGTTTCGCGAATCTTTGAAGAATAAAATTGACAAGAAAAGGGCTGCATCATGCACCTCTTTTACCAACCCCCTCTTATATTATGGAGATGGTTTTACAGGTTGGGAAGCACCACACGGAATTCAACATGGGCATTTATCTTGGCCTTATCTCTGTTTCAAGTGCAATTTACAACATGTTATGACTTTAAATTAGGCCTCCTAATTCCATGGAATTCCACGGATTACGACTCATACCCATTCCTCGGGACGCGCTCCTTTGGTGCTGCGGTGTTAGCGGCGGAGCAAATATCAGCTTCGGGCTTGCTCGGGGGCAACAACTCATCGCACACCGTAGACTTGGTGGTCGCCGACACGGCATGCAGGTCGATCGCAGCCGGGGGGCACGCGGTCGAACTCATGGACGAAACCGTGGATGCGTTCATCGGGCCGCCGTGCTCGATGCCCTGCGCGACGGTGGCCGACTTGACCAGCTACTGGCAAGTCCCAATGTCGTCGTGGTTCTGCGCGGCCATGGCCGACGGCGAATCCGAAGACCCGTTCGACGTCCACCCCACGCTAGCCCGGACTTACCCGACCATCTTCCAAATTGCTCATACCATTCCGACGACGCTGGAACTTTTCGATTGGAACATATACAGTATCATCTATCCTTTGGATGGACTTATGGGTGACATAGCGTATAGGACAAGGATGCTTATGGATAAACGGGGGCATCCTCCCGCTCATATGGAATCATATCAAAAGCCCCTCGATCTCTCAGTTGCTCGGAACATCTTGAAAAATGTCCAGAAAGTTTCAACAAGTAAGTTTAAGCAATCTTCAATTTCTTTCATTCGGTATAGCCACAATCAGGGTGCAACTAGTCTACATACAGTGTTACGCATCTCTCCTGGAAACACAAAGTCATCTAATCAAATGTCTTGTGGCCTGAAATGTTGGAACATATGAGTTCTTCATCAGGCAGCAACTTTTGTTTGAATTTATTTTGTGTTGGCTGTGTGAGAATGGTAATAGAGGGCCCAAAATACCACTTTTTGGCTGTTACGCATTTGCACTTAGAAAATGTGTCTTTTTTCATTAGATGTCACCACGGGATTACACAGGATATGCCATATATTTTCATGCCAGCTTGTAGTCCTTTTTATCTCCACTCAGTATTTTTTTACGGCTTGAGAATTGACCCAAGAATTGCGATACAGTGGTTATTTCTGTGAAGAGAGACCAGCGTAACGCTTTTTTGAAAAACAGCTTTGTGTATAATTTTGCCTTTATAATTCATATATTTTAGCATTATATCAATTGGTAATTGGTTATATTTTCTGAGTAACATGTTGTCCTATCATCAAAAACAAAAAATCAAACAAAGATACAAGCGTTACAAAAATATATGCCCACATTCCGATCTTAAATTTTGTCCGGAATTTCCTATAGTGTCCGTAACGGTGTAATTCCTGCTCTGTGGAAATGTTTTCAAAGTTCTTATATACTTTGCTTTGTGTAACTACCTCCGGGGACTAGCTGTGGTATAATAATATTCAGCTAAGCATTACAGTTTTTTTTTTGCAATTTAATGAATGGCATTTGTAGTGTCCGTAACACATGTAGTGTCCGTAACACAACTTACACATGTAGTGTCCGTAACACAACTTACACAAGTGTGTGATGGTCTAAAAATACAGCTTCATAACTAAATACTGCTCATTTGTAATTCAAATTTGATTTGATATAGTTGCTTTTCTCAATGAATAACACAAATTCTCTTTTCCTCGAAGGTTTTCTCCTGGATATGATATTTCGCAAACAAATAAGCTATTTTCCATGAATTTAATTTAAAAGATTAAAAAAAAATTGACTTATGAGTAATTTAATATCAATATTTTATTTCAATAATATTAGTTAGATGTGATAAAGTATCAAATTAAATGCATCATTGTGTTTTAGTTTCAATATCGAGGGTAGAACAGAGTTGGAGCCAGTGTTACGGACACTACAGATCTGTGTTACAGATACTACAGAAGGAGTAATATCAAGGCCTGCAAGCCAAACTGTACCTCTTTTTCTGGATAACAGTGTTCTAAAATAAATGTTAACATAGTAAAAGCTGTCTATGACATCAAATATGTGTGATGCATGACCAAATACAACATTTTAATCATTCAATTGCCTACCCACAAAATGTATAAGTCACTACATGTACATTGTATTTTATGTTCACACACACATAAGCACTTGGGCACACACCAGTACGTGTATGACTATTGTCTCCTGAGGACTATGGAAAAATACCTTCTTTGGAGGACACCCCCCTTTGAGGGGATTTATGAAATATCTCATCGTCTACGTTTTTGCTCACAATTTCCCTCGATAAATTAAGCTTCTGATGGAGAGAGAGGAAAAAAAATAGACTAAGGTCACTTTAGACTTGTCTACCGACATTTGTGTATATTATATCTGAGGATTTTATGAATACTGGTTTAATTGCCACCACCAACAACAATCACCGAACATCTGAGGATTATTGAATAAACGTATCAGAAATGATTATTGATTACACCATAATTTTGCATATATATTAATTATTACTTCTTAAAAAAAAAAAATGCTTTGTTCCTGTGTTTCGGCGTACATGTGGCTAAGGTTTTACAAGTATACCACTTAGTTGGTCTAAATACTCTTCATAAAGTACAGACTGTGGTCTTTTTATGACCCCAAATTATCCAACGCTATTTTAACGAGTTCCTAAAAATGGGTTCTACATGTACATATACTGAATATATCCTGTAGCACATACATGTACGATACGAGGACAATGCATGCAGTGCAATCTTCTGTATTATTAACCGTATCAAACATCTGAGCAGGGCAATTTTTAAATTTTATTGCCCTCAAGGTTTGATGGATAAGCCAACAAAACTACAGGCGAAAAAAATATTATTGACCGCTCAGAAAAGTCAATGGGATTTTATGTGTAATTTGCCGGTCAATACGGTTATACAGTAAACCAATGAACAAATATTATTGCCCGATCTGAAAAGTCAATGGGATTTTGTGTGTAATTTGCCGTCAATACGGTTATACAGTAAACCAATGAACAAATATTATTGCCCGATCTGAAAAGTCAATGCCAAAATGCGTGTTAAACTAGTGAGCAATAATTACCGTGTTTACCCAGTAATCTGCCTCGAGGGTTGAAGCCGGGTTGAAGCCGCGAGGGGGTTGAACCTTTGGGTTGAACCCTCTAAAGCGCGCAAATGTGATCGTGTTTACACAGCAGGAAAAAAAAGGTGACTTCAACCCTCGAGGCGGATCACTAGGTGGTGTCACACAGAGGCCAACAATCCGGATTTTAGTTATCCGGATTTTAGTTATCCGGATTTTAGTTATCCTCTTAAATGGCTGTCTGTCATTAATTATCCCTTCAAAAATCCTCCAATAAAGATAATTCTCCCTTGAAAGGATTTTTGAAGGGATATTTGAAGGGATTTATCTGTCTGACACCAATGTTGAAATAATCCCTTTAAATAAGCATTGTGACATCACACGTTTAAATGCGCGCATTTAAACGTGTGATGTCACAATGCTTATCTACCTAAACGGTGCATGCGCAATGGCCCATCAAAAATCCGGATTTTAGTTATCCGGTTTATTCGTGGCCTGTCTGTCACCAGTCTGTCACCGACGTAATACACCAGTTTACAGTTGTGTGCGCCATTTTAAACAAGGCCAATGACCTAGAGGTCCTGTATTTATGCGTAAATTAAGATTGCGCCCATGCAAATTAAGATGATATCACTGCCTGCGCGCTGCGTTGTGCGCGCATATCATCATTTGCATGGGCGCAATCTTAATTTACGCATAAATACCAGAGGTCAGAGGTCATTGGCCCCGGAACAGGGCCAATTTGGCCCTGTTCCGGGGCCAATGACCCGAGGTCAACTGTCTGCTCATGCGCACTGATACAACTGTAAACTGGTGTATTGAAAAAAACTAGATTTCTAAAATCTGGTTTATTCAAGATGGGTCGGGATTTTTCTGTGTGACACCGCCTACTGTGTAAACACGGTAAATATAGAGCCAGTTGTAATTTACATCGCGTATCAGCTACTGTAATTTACGCACCAGCTACTGTAATTTACATCGCGCATCGCGTATAAGAAAATGCGCACTTTGCGCGAACTCTATTGTGACGTAACAATCACGCCCTGTAGGCACACTGTTTGCAGTGTATTGAAATTTTGTCAAACTCTGGATGCACAGTGCTGGTTTGACGATAAATGGATTACTTATATATTGCATCAAAGAATAGCATGTACAAAATGTAGTGTCCGTAACATCCTATGGGATTTTGTACATAAGTTATTTTGGACAACTTATGATATGAAACGAGCCTTCCTAGCAATTTGATTTTTTGTATTTGTATACAGATGGGACTAAAGTTTGTAATTTGTCTCATTTATCAATGTTTGGTTGGCTTTTTAAAAAGTTTCAGGTTTTGAAAAAATGTCATTTATTAGATTTGACCTTGTCTTACCTCTGATGTGTATACTGCGTCTAATTTATGGACTAAAGTGAGTGTGAATGGTTTTATTTTTCACAAATGGCCAAGAAATTCCCGTAAGAAGTGCAAAATATTTGAGTTTTAAGATAATAATGCTTGAAAATTCCATTTCGGTAGCATTGTGTAGTGTCCGTAACACCCTATAGGATTTTGTACATGAGTTATTTTGGACAACTTATGATATGAAACGAGCCTTCCTAGCAATTTGATTTGTTTTTATATGTATACAGATGGGACTAAAGTTTGTAATTTGTCTCATTTATCAATGTTTGGTTGGCTTTTTAAAAAGTTTCAGGTTTTGAAAAAATGTCATTTATTAGATTTGACCTTGTCTTACCTCTGATGTGTATACTGCGTCTAATTTATGGACTGAAGTGAGTGTGAATGGTTTTATTTTTCACAAATGGCCAAGAAATTCCCCAAAGAAATGCAAAATATTTGAGTGTTAAGATAAATAATGCTCGAAAATTCCATTTCGGTAGCATTGTGTAGTGTCCGTAACACCTACCACCCCCTGTTGTGTTGCTGTTCATAAAATGATAACCAAGATAGTTTCCTCCAAGATATTGCAGGGTATTGACCCTAGGGTATGGATGAACAATTTGGGGTTGATGAAACTGCTCTATTGCATACTTTATTTTTGGACCCAAGTGCAAATGGTTTTGCACCCTGATTGTGGCTATACCGATTGTATGCACACTGTACATTTTCGTTGATATCACAAACATGAGCAGTAGTAATACAAGCCCGAATATGGATTGTTTCGTCGTCCCTAATGACTCGCTATTGTGAGTAATCATGTTGTGTTGTTGATGAAATCATAGAAAATTATGATAAGCATGCCACTTAAAGTCCAAACTAACAAAACAATACAACGAACCAATAAACGCACAAAAGCATCCGTGCTATAAACAAAAAGAAAAACATGAAACCATCATGATATTATGATGATAATAATTCAAAGCTTCTCTCTTGAACCATTTGATTATATAGATAGAATATTACACCCCATTGAGACAAGTTATAATTAAAAATTTACTGTCAAGCTCATTTTGGGTAGGCATAAAAATCATTTTCGCGTCTCACATTTTTTATCGAGCATTTTACTTACTTATTTGTTATTGAAATAGAAGCGATATGAACCATCATTTTAAAAACATAATGGCCCGAATTCACAAAGGAGGTTTTAGACAAACTTCGGTTCATGTGCGTCATATTATGACGCGTTTCGATGGGTTTCAGACCAAGGTTCAGACAAACCTTGGTCTGAAACGCGTCAAAAACGCGTCGTAAAT